TGATTTACTTAGCTAGAGTGCTTCTCTTAGAGAACCCTGCCCTTACTTGAGAGTAAACATGCATAGAATTGGACTGAATTGTAGTTTTGTAGTCTTATAAAAAAAATTGTAGTTTTTTAGTTTAATTAAAAAACAATAAAAAATATCCCTCCGGGGATTTTTTTTAAAAAAGAATTGGACTGAAGGGAGGGAGTGAGAAAGGCAAGAGAAAGCTGTGGCTGGATGGTTACAGCAGAGTCAGCTGAAGTTGTTGTTGTTTTTTAATTGGATTTATATCCCGCCCTTCCCGCGAATGGGCTTAGGGCGGCTCACAGTTAGTGGCACCATGTGCCAAGTCATATAAAGCATATAAAACCAGAGTAAAACAATCATACAGTACACAAATAAAGTGCTCACAATAATGGTCATTCAGTTAGGGACGGTGTACTATAAGGTGTAATACTACAATCCCGGTAGCAGTATACCGGCCGGCCGCGAAGCTGTGGCTCAATCTCAATAAAGGGCCAACCTATTACCACGATGTTGATAATAATACTAGTTGGTGGTAGTGGTGGGCAGCTCCTACTTGAAAGCCTGGTGGAAGAGCTCCGTCTTGCAGGCCCTGCGGAACTGTACAAGGTCCTGCAGGGCCCTGATCTCCTCTGGGAGCTTATTCCACCAGGTAGGAGCCTCCACTGAAAAGGCCCTGGCCCTAGTAGCAGCGAGCCTGGCATACTTAGGGCCTAAAATGATTAGACGATGTTGTGACCCCGACCGTAGTGCTCTCTAGGGTATGTATGGGGAAAGGCAGTCCCTCAGATATGTCGGACCCTGGCCATATAGGGCTTTAAAGATAAGTACCAGCACCTTGAAGTGAATGCGGTATGCTATTGGCAACCAGTGCAGTGCCTTCCGCTCAGGCCGGATGTGCTCCCATCTAGGGAGGTCCATCAACAGCCTGGCCGCGGCATTCTGCACTAGCTGCAGCTTCCAAATTTGCAACAAGGGCAGCCCCATGTAGAGAGCATTACAGTTGTCTAATCTCATGGTGACCATCGCATGGATCACTGTAGCCAGGTTGTCGCAGTTGAGGAAGGGAACCAACTGCCGAATCAGCCGAAGATGATAAAAGGCCGATTTATCAGTGGCTGCCACCTGGGCCTCCATAGTTAAGGAGGAATCCAGGAGCATTCCCAAACTCCTCACCACCGGCGCTGGCATCAGAGGCACCTCGTCGAAGGTCGGGAGTGGGATCCCCATCCCCAGACCACCCCGATTCAGACACAGGACCTCCATCTTCATCGGGTTTAGTTTCAGCCAGCTCAGTCTAAGCCAACCAGCCACGGCTTGCAATGCCCGGTCCAGATCTTCCGGACTGGAATCTGAACGACCACCCAACATCAGATAGAGCTGGGTGTCCTCAACGTACTGGTGACATCCCAGCCCAAACCTCCGGGCAATCTGGGCAAGGGGGCGCATGTAGATGTTAAATAACATCGAGGTAAGCACTGCCCCCTGAGGCACACCGCACTCAAGCGGGTGTCTCCTGGACTGCTGTTCCCCTAGCACCACCCTTTGTCCCTGACCCTGGAGAAAATAAGAAAGCCATTGCAAGGCAAGCCCCTGTATCCTCATGACAGCGAGGCAGTGGATCAGCAACTGGTGGTCGACTGTGTCGAACACAGCCGACAGGTCTAACAACAACAGTGCTGCCGAACCGACCCGATCCAGATGTCTCCGGAGGTCCTGTACCTGATTCGAAGGGGCATGGATGTGGGCACCAGGCTCCCCACACTGGAAGGGGCACCTTTGGTGCCATCCCAAACAGTGAGGAGCCTGGGAGTAACATTGGATTCCTCTTTGTCAATTGAGGCCCAGGTTGCCGCAGTTGCCAGATCTGCATTTTTCCATCTTAGGCAGATCAGGCTACTGAAGCCATATCTTTCTCCCCAAGATCTAGCTACAGTGATCCATGCAATGGTCACCTCCAGGCTTGATTACTGCAATTCATTGTATGCATGCTTACCCCTGAGGCTGATCCGGAAATTACAGCTGGTACAAAATGCAGCGGCATGCTATGCCCATGTAGGCTCACATTCGGCATGTGCTTTGACAGCTGCACTGGTTACCAGTTGAGTACCGGATCCACTTCAAGGTGTTGGTAATAACCTTCAAAGCCTTATACTGCCTGGGACCAACATATCTAAGTGACCGCTTCTTCCCATATACGCTTTGAAGAGCTTTACACTCCAGTAATCAACATCTCCTGGTGGTCCTTGGCCCAAAGGACATCCGTCTAGACTTGACCAGGGCCAGGGCTTTCTCTGCCCTGGCCCCCACCTGGTGGAGCATGCTCCCCATCGAAATCATGGCCCTGTGGGATCTTACTCAGTTCCGCAGGGCCTGCAAGATGGAGCTGTTCCAACAGGCTTTTGATTGAGCCAGTGGGCATCCATATATGGCCTCCCCAAGGTTGCTGTCTCCTACCTACTGGCCATCCATCTACTAGCAACCAGCCATATCCATCAGATGAATGGGTCAGAATTTTCACCAGCAGTTGAAAACGACTGATTTTAAATGTTTATAATATAAATGTTTGATTGTGTTTTAAACTTAACTGTACTATTGAAGATTATGTGACCTGCCCTGAGCCCGCTTGCGAGATGGGCGGGATACAAATACAATAAATAAATAAATAAATAAATAAATAAATAAATGTGGACATTTGAGTGACCCAAGTGCCAGAGATATAGGAGTATTTCATCAGAAGAAAGCTTAGATCATGTGAGCTTCAGTCCAAGGAGAGCTGGTTTTCAGCAATCCCCTGAGATTGGGACCTCTTCCTGTGGTAAGAGATAGCGGTCTAGTAACCAGACACAACATGCATTTGGCACCCTTGCCAAGCAAGCCTGAGTTTCCAAGTCTTTCTTTCTTTGCATATAATGGTAAGGTTTCCACCACCACATTCCAAATTCATTCTCAATACCATTCTCAGCATGACTCTAATGATGAGATGATTGTGAAGAGCACATCATAGTGAAGAGACAGCATGCTTGTAAATCCTTCTGACAATGACTAGCTTTCGTATGCAAAGCAGAAGCAAGGGGAGTGAACAAAATCAGAATCACACAGGATAGTAGTCTGTCAAATTAAATCAAGTTTTCAGAGTGAAATTAGCCTTTTGAGATCAGTCCAAAATACCCTTTGCTTTATGAAGCTCTTACCATTACTGGCAGTCCTCTGCTCACAGCTGGAATCTGCAGGCCTCTTCCTACTTTCATTTATGCCATTGCAAATTAGGAGTGACTCACTTTAGCTGAGTGGATCTGAAGTAAGAGGAGAATCAGGCCTTTTGATTTTGTTGAAAGGTTATCACTGGGTTCAACCCCAAATGTCATCCTCTTCATTCCTTCTAGGTAAAACTGTCATATAATTAATAAACCTGTTACAGATGATGTTTCACTAATTAGGAAATGGTCTTGTTCTGCTACTAATTAGAGAATGTCCCTGACACTTGGACTTACTAAACTGTCAAGATTGCACCTTCCCAATTTATTGATGAATTATTTTCTCATAATACTCATGTGAGGCACAGCTAATGGCTTCTCAGCTAAAGCGGAGACCCTATTCAGGCAGAATAGAAGAGAATAGAAGAAACAGCCCTGTGCACTTGGCTGTGGGACAAAACCAGGCATGAATCATGATCATGATGTTTGTTTAATTCATTTGTACCCTGCATTTCTCTTCAATGGGAACTCAATGCAGCTTACATCGTTCTCTTCTTCTCCACTGCACCACACTGGCTCTCTTTAAGAGGCTAACTCCAGAGGCCTCAGGGCAAGCAGGTTTGTGGAGAGTAGGAAAGAAAAGCTTCACTTTGCTTTCTGGTAACCTATAGGTGTGCTGGGCCTCCATGGCTACTCAAAACTAGGCTTTTAGTTAAGTACTGTTATATTTCCTTTCCAAGCTGAATGATCTACCTAGAGGTTTTCAGTGCTAAAAAATAAACCATTATGTTAAATAAGACAATTGTTCATTAATGGTTTTGTGATAAGGGTAGGACTCACCCAGTGTTGCCGGTAGGTATGCTCCCTTTGGGTTAGTAATCTCCCAGTGAAGGGACCTCCCACCTGCCCTTGCCTCTTTGGCCAGTGGAAGAAACAGTATGCCAACACTACATATAGGCAAAACCCCAGACATGACATCACAACCAACACTCTAGAAACTCTATGGTTTTAGCATCATCTGATGTGCTGCCATCACATTTGGTTTTTTGTCTGGTGGTGACATCAGCACGTAGCCTGATGTTGTTTCTGCCCTTTGCCCCACCACTAAAGCTCCTGGGGATGCCAGGCCACCACCTGGCATACCTAATTGCCAGCCAACCACTGGCAACTGGTGGGAGTTGTAGGAGGGCAAGGACATGCAAAATAGGCATCACAGTTTCACTTCTGGTGTGAACCCAGAAATGATGGTAACACGTTCGTGTGACTGCTCTAGGAATCCTAGACATCATGCTGATGGCACTTCCAAGTTTGCTGCAACACTTATCCCCCCCCCCCACTGCTCTAATGAGTGCTGGCAGACACCTGGGCTCTAGGGCAGGAATATATCTAGCCAAAGACCTGGGCACTCTAAACTCACCTGCTGCTAAAATATCCTGAAGTTGTGAGAATAATCTGATACGAGGCCAACTCTTTCATTTATTTATCACTGCTGTATCACTAAAGAAATGGCTGCACTGAGTCCTCTTGGATTAGCCTGTTAAAGAAGTACTACATAACACTTGGATCTTTGTTTTTTTGTAAAGATAATTTATGCACACACAGAGCAGCAATGTGGATTATAACCATGAAGGAGAGAGAGGATTAAACCCTTCAACCTCTACTCAGTTTTGCTCACTGAACCAGGTTGGGGGCACTTTTATTAGTGTTTTTAAAAGGGGAAAGAAGGATTTTTAAAGGACATTTAGTACTGAAAACAGTACAGTTGCCCAATCTAACAACTTTATTTCTCCACAGTCACAATATTCTCCTGTATGAAGATGGCCATGCTGTTGTAGCTGATTTTGGAGGTGAGAGTTTGGGGATTAAAAGAACAAATGGCATATATTCAGTCTCTAGGGAAGAAGGGACAGTCATAATTGGAGACCTGACTATCATAAACTACAGATCAATGCCATAACTAAGTTTTCTGACTGGCTTTTTGTGTTCTTGGAGTTTAACAAGTCTTTGTGGCTTCTCAATATATTTTATTTTGGTTTCTTGTTCAATCTACAGTACAGATTTCTTGCGTGGTGAAAAAAAACCCTATTATTTATCCCCTGGCAAACCACCGATGTACTGACTTCAAACCAACATGGCTAGCCACCTGAATTAATCACCTGGATGGTTATCTTTTCCTCTAAAAGCAAATGAAGATAACAAAACAGGGCCTAGTGTAGAGGCATTTGGCATTTTTGCATATTTAGGGACTACTTATATATGAAGAAAAGTATTGTAAATTCTAAAAAAGTAGAAGAAATTGTCATACAAATTGTTTGCTGTGAACTGGGCATGCTCGCTGCACTTGGTTGAGGACAACTGAGTCACTTTAAAGAGGAAAAAAAGAAGGAGATAGGGAAATTGGCTTGCTGAAGTCCCCAAGAGCTTATAACAAGGGCCTCAACCTTTTTGAGCCTGTGGGCACCTTTGGAATTCTAACACAACATGCCGCAGGAAGTAGATCCAGCCACAAAATGGCTGCCATGGCTTACCTGCAGTCACACAGTGAAGATGCTTATGCTGTGGTGGCAGCTGCTGCCAAAGCAACATTTTTTTAAAATGTGCACAGCCAAAGAACTCTCCAATGGCCAAGCAGAACTTCTGCTGAATAAAAGCCCAGCCTGGCCCCAACCCACATTCTCAAAACACTTGGTAGATGCCAGGGACAGTATTGGTGGGTGCCATGGCATCCATTGGCACCACGTTGGGGACCCCTGGCTTCTACAGTCTCAAAGGGACATTTGAGTTGAGGGTATTTCCCAGTAATTTCTCCTACCCTCCTGTGGTACCATGATTCCACAAGTTTATTTGTATCCGAATTGCAATCGGCTGCCCCCACTCCACTCCCATAATGCAGGCATTTCCTAATGCCTAAAAATATGTTTAAAGGCTTATCCAGATGGTTGCCAGTGTGTATCCAGAGAGTCTTGGTGTATGTTTACAATCACAAAAAAAAGAAAGAAAGACATGAAGCAATTGCCCATTCTGTTCCCAGCCCTGTTATTTTCCTACTGCCCCTTCTCTAGATATGCCAGTTTGTAGGTGGGGAGTCTGTGACAGGACTGGGGAAGGAATTTGTGGCAGAAGTCATGGCTGCTTTGTCACTGGCTTTATTAATGATTTTAAAGATAGAATGCAAACCTCAGGGTTGCAGTCTAGTAGTCCTACTTGCAATCTGTTAGTAAGCATTGTATAGCTTTGCAGAAAAATGTATAGATGTAAAATAATATAACCCTCAAAAAGGCTAAAATAGAACTCAGACCATCATCACTTGGTGGGCTGACCTTCCACTATGCAGCAGGCATTGGGTATTAATTTTGGATGGCAGAACTCAACTACTGTATCTACCTTAAGGTCTGAGTACCTGAAGACAAATGCAAAATACTAGTGTTCTTACACAAGCACTTTATAAAGTACGCCATTTAAATCATGTACAATTTCCTTGCATTTCTAGTTGGATTTTATACAGCAGAAATACATAAGCAATGTCAGGTCTCACTTAAAAAAAAAGATTCACCTGTACTTGGTGATGTTTATTCAGACGGTGTTTTTCTTTTCTTTTTTTAATCTCAGAATCCAGATTTCTGCAGTCTTTGGATGAAGACAATATGACAAAACAACCTGGGGTTTGCCTCTTCTTTTCTTGTCTTGTTATGTATAATTACTCTACAATGTATGTGAAAACTCAGCCTACAAGCAAGTAACGAAATTAGGATTTTCTTTTGCCAGCATACATCCTATTGTATATGGACAGTGTTCAGTCTTGTTTCTTTCATATGTTAATTTTTTGGTAGACTGCTTGAGATCAGTTTTTATGCCAGCCAAGATTAGTGGGTACAAAACGTACTCTCTGCCTGGAGTCATAAATGAGTTTCTGTTCTGCATCTGTAATCATCATTAATATTTGCTTCTTATATTAACAATGTTGTTTAGAATTATCTTGTGACTAGCGATGGGCAAGCTTTCTTCAGCTTGCCTTAAAATTAACTAAGGTCTTTGAGGCTTCTTCGGAGAAGTCTTGGAAAAACTAGTTTTTTATATCACTGATAATTCTCCAAGAACATGCAGGATGATGGTATACTGAGAGGAACTCCCTGTCAACCAGTTCTGATTGAAGGTGCCCACTCTGGCTTGGGAAATTTCTGGGGGTGTGGGATGGTGCCTGGGGTAGGTGGAATATGGGGAAGGGAAGGAGCCCACAGCCCAGCAGGGATGTGATGCTAAACAGTCTCCCTCCAAAGGTGCCGTCTCCTTCTGGGAAACTGATATACATAATCTGGAGGTCAGTTGTCATCCCAAGAAAACTCTGGCCCCGGCCTGAAGGTTGGCAGTCCTACCTCTGGTGCCCACTTCCCAAACAATCTTTCCTTTGCAGAAGTCAAAAAGCGAGTAATGCTGACAGGCAATGGAAAGATCTCAAAAGCAAACTTGATTTGTCAAACTTTGGCAGTTTACAGTTCCTACGAATTCAGTGAATTGGCGAAACTACAACTCCCAGGCATATTAGGGGCAAGGGATGCTCCTAAGGAGATGTAGTGTGTTCACTGCCACTTAGATTCCCATTGAGCCAGGGGCCACTGGAAACTACAATTTCCATGCATCCCAGTAGGTGACCTATGGTACTGAGCATGCTTGGAACTATCCAGGCTTTAAGGCTAGGCTTAGAAATCTTCCAAGATAACCAGTCAGTCATTCCCACTGCCAGGCTTGTTTGTTTGTTTGTTTGTTTTGGTACCTCATAAGAATAAGGTTTTTGGGGAGAGGGGAAAAGTGGCAGTCCATTTTCCAAGAAACTCATGATGTTAGGTCATCTGAACAACAATCCAGCGTGCGCTAGGATTGATATGCAAGGTATTCACTTATGTTGTGGATCAGCTATTATTCGTATTGTTTCCTTTGTTTCTGGCTGCCATGAAAATCTTCAGATTGGTACCATGTTGCACATGTGTCTAGAAGTGCCCAGCAGAGTTACACTCTAGGGAGTGGGAAGCAGTAACCACCAGGGAAACTTCTTTTCATATCAGCAATGAGTATAGTGAAAGATATTCTGGTTTTGTGCAGACAAAGTGAAATCTACACTATAGTTGAAAACACCACAAACCAGGGCTACTTTTGGGTAGGAACGCACAGGAACAGAGTTCCGGCTGGTTTCCAAGTTGGCCACACCCAGCAGGAACGCATTAGCATAACAGGCCACATCCAACAGCAGAAACTCATTAGGATTGGCTACATTAGGGCTGTGTGGCCTAACATGCAAGGGAGTTCCTGCTACAAAAAAGCCCTAGGTTTGGACAACAAACAAGGTAAACAGAATAAGAAGCAAAAGGTGGGTGTGGCTGGATGACCACACTTCTGGTAACCTAGGGGTGTGGCCTAATATGCCAATGAGCTGTGCTGTCATGGGTGTGGCCTAATATGCTAATGAGTTTCTACTGTTGGGTGTGGCCTATTATGGTAATGAGTTCCTGCTGGGCTTTTTCTACAAAAAAAGCCCTGCCACAAACGATATGGTAATTTGCTCCATAGATTATTGTTAATATCCATATCACTATTATTACTCATATCATTATTATTTTCCCCCACATTAATTCTGTTAGCATATTTCTAGAAAGTAAACTGATATAAAAATAGAGAAAAGATCCACTCCCTTGTGAGGAAACAAAACAGTCTGTTAATGCATTATTGATGTTTTTGTGATGTGCAGAACTTGCGTTGGATGGCCCCTGAAGTATTCACACAGTGTACTCGGTACACTGTAAAAGCCGATGTTTTCAGCTACGCTTTGTGTCTCTGGGAACTATTAACAGGGGAAATTCCATTTGCTCACCTCAAACCAGGTAAGATATATAGCAAGCGAACATCAAAAGTGGACTTCTCTCTGGTATACAATAAAATAGCTACTCTGCATAACAGGAACTCCATTTTTAGCTGAATGCTACACACACACACACACCTACAGTACAGGGTTTCAATATTCACTTACAATTTGAAGTTGCTACATTGCAGTCAGGCACACTACTGATTGAATAACTATTGTAAAAAGACTTAGGCAGGCAGCTTAAGAAGTGTTTTTGGACTTGCACTATGCATACTGCTCTCCAAATGATAACTTTATGTGGCTGAAATGCACACAAAGCACAAGTAGATCAGCATTTTGCCATCAAAGCAGCTAAGCCAACTGGGAGCCAGAGGAGTCATGATCTTCTTGCCTACACAGGCCCAGTGTGACATCAAAGCCAATCAGACACTCACGGCTGGGAGATCCTCACAACCATAGCTGAGCAATAAATAAGCTTATCCAATACACCAGAAAAGCCCCATGTGCACTGTTTGCTAATGTCTGCCAATTCAGAGCATAGCTGAATTTTATTGAAATCCAGGGGAAGGAAAATGGCATGGGAGAGCTAGAGTGGGCTCTGTCATCTCTGTGCCCTGCCCCCTCGACCAATTGAAATTTTCCTCAGGTCTCTGCTTGTCGTTATTAATGGGCAAGTATTTTAATAGTGCCAGACACTTTCCAAATGCTGAGAAGCATACCGTCTGAAGAATTCCCCTGCACCTTCTGTTTGTAAGCATGAGTCCATTGATTCTTACTAATTAGCTTCACTTGTCTTGTGTAACAGTCATCCATTCCATTTCTCCACTGGAGACAGGAAGAGTGCTTAGCTTTTCAAAGCCATTATTCCTCTGATTCATTTAAAGTTATATATTTATTGACCCTCTGTTCTCATACTTTGCTGGTGTTGGTCATAGAAAATCCCCCTCTTCCTTTTCCTCCTGAGAGCTTATTAAATCCAAATTCACATCTCTTCGGCAATTTATGGAATTATGTTCATTTTAATATTCAGTGGTTTTTTTGTCCAAAACTTTGCTGTATTTCTTATACTGGAGTATTTTCTGTATATTATCTCTAACATCACTTTTCTGGTATCAATTTCTGCATCTTCATCCTCTTCAGTTTGTTTAATTTCTCTGCAATGATTAGGGTTGCCAAGTCGTTTTCTTGCCGCAGCGGGGGACTCCCGGCTGGCGGCTGGAGTGTACGCGCACACATCACCCGGAAGTGACGTGACGACACCGGGCACGCTGTGGCGGGGCCACGACCATCCGAGGGAAAACCATAGAGTTTTCCCTCGGATGACCGTGGCCCAGCCCCCAGCGTGCCCGGCATGGTCACGTCACTTTTGGGTGACATGCACGTCAGGGTGGGGTTCCCCCCGGGGCCTGATCTGCCGGCGGCGGGGAACGGGCCTCTGGGGCGGGGGTTTCCCCGCCCCCCGGGGGGACTTGGCAAGCCTAGCAATGATCAAGATAAAATGTTGTCATGATCTGATTTCTGAATTTAATTTTCCATACTCTTATAAGCACAGGTGCTATATTATGTGACTGAATACAATTTAAGATTTATTGTAGATCTTAAATAGCACAACAACGGGGCATCATTCAGTAAGACAAACTAGGCCTAGGCCAAATCTCTTCCTCTCTATACTTCCTGTTTCCTATCCTTCCATACTACATCTCCCAGCAGGCAGTGCTTCCAGCTCTGTTGTTTATAGCCACTGCTGTATCTAATAATACCATGGCAGGCCATTCATTACCCAGATTTAGTTGTGTGTTTATTTTATTTCCAGCTTTTGTAATGCTTTGCTTTCTGGAAAAGTCCTAGATATACAGGAGAAGGGGAAGAAGAGATCAGGGCTGTGAATATGATCTTGCAATTTTTAGGCACCAGTTGTCTTGATCGGATATCACTACTTTATACTTTTGTATAAAATGGGTACCTGTTTTTTAAAAAATACTAAAATCTATGTAATTCTGTCCCTCTCATCTAGTTTGTACATGGTGGTCTGTACATGGAACACTGAAGGGACAGAATGGGCATCACCTCTTCAGACTGCAGGTGTCACATTTTGGAGTGTGCCCATATGTTACAATCTCTGCAGTCAGAAAATCAGCACAGCAAGAAAGTTGGAAACCACCACCTGCAGTCTGAAGTGGAACAGTCTGTTCTGACGCTTCAGGGCTCTGCATGTATGAACCAGCCCCTCCACCCCCAGGTTCAAACACGGAAATGTCCCAAGGTATCTGCTCTGCCCATCTAAGAATTATTAATAGTGGGTTGTATCCAGCATGATCCACGTCAACGCAGACCTTGCAGAGCAGGATTTTCTGCTTGTGTGCTGGCCTCTTCTGCGCATCTTTTGGGTAGTGGAAGAAGCAATGGAAACACTGGACTAGAGCTTGGAGCCGGGGTGAAGTTCCCCAGAGAAGGGCCAATTGCTTTCCTGGGTAGGAAAGTTACTTGCACTGAGGCTTCGAGAAGATTTTTGAACTTGCAGATGTTGAAGTTCAGACTTTAAGTTAGTGAAGTGTGGCCTTCATTTTACCCAATGCTGTTGCTTCAGGTTTTTATTCCCCTCCCCAATTCAGGATAGGCAAACTGCTTTTTTTCGTACCAAGGTTTAAGTAAAACCTTTAAAAATAACAATATATACTTTTTAAACAGAACTAGCTGGAGTATTGAGGCATGATGAATTTTTCACCTTTTAAAAATAATACAGGAAACCAGATGGGAAGGTGGAAAACAAGCATATTAGAAAGAATAAAAGAGTGACTAGGCTTTTATAGTACAGTATAGTACAGACATAATTGAAGTAAAAAGGTAACAACCCATTACTTAAGCACTAAGTGCCAACCAATTAGACCACTGCAATGGTGTTTATCTATCAGATACAGACTGTGTTGGGTAGTTAAAGATCTGTCATGAAGATGAATTACACTTAATGACCAGCCTAAATCTGAAAGATTAAACCATTTGGGATCACTGGAATAGCTTCCTTTCTAAACGAGCTGTAAAAAAGGTCAGTTCATTTGTTGAGGAAACACTGGAGGGTCATATAGTGGAGCTATGCAAATGTTCAAATCTTCGTTTGAGTTTCCTGTATTATCTGTAATACTTGCAAACCAGCTAGAGTATCTGCATGATGAACTCAGATCACAAGAAAGGAATGAATTGTAGTCACTTTAAATGTTATTCTGCAGGTGAGTTTGTTCTTTATCTTCAGGTGTGGAACTTGCTACTCAAGACTCGTTCTTGGATTATTTTTTAGCATATTGTTGCCATGCCAGAATATAAATGATATTCTTCTCTTTAGGTAGTTGCCAGATCCCTAATGATTAAGGTCAGTCACATGCATCCAGCCACATAGTTCTCCTGATGGGAAGGCAGTTTTGCAAGGGAGAGTCTGTAGGCTTCTGTAGGAAGGGGAAGGGGGAAAGTCCCACAGGTTAACTTTAGCCGCCGCCACCACCCATACATGTGCTGGAGCTGGCATTTCATGCTGCCTCCGTGAAATCTCAAGCAATTTTGCAAACATATTATTGCAAAGGTAGTGTGTGTGTGTGAGACAGAGAGAGAGAGAAAGAGACAGAATATCAGAGAACAGATCATCGTATACCATGGGTGACCAAACTGCAGCTTGGGAGCCGCATGCAGCTCTTTCACACAGCCTAATTTAATGTTAATAAAAAGCAAATCTGCATATTTTTCAATAAAAACGTGTGTGTAATATTTGTTCATGTCTTGTGGCTCTCAAACATCTGATGTTTATTCTGTGTGGCTGTTATGTTAAGCAAGTTTGGCCACCCCTGCCATATACCTTTTTCATTTGGAGAAAGATTCCCTCCATTAGGTATAGCTGCTTACCAGCTTTGTTATTCTACCTAATCTCAACAGCACTCTGAGAATTAAGGCTGTTAATGATTAGTGGTTGGGGGCAGTCATTAATTCACAAGGTCACTATGTCAGAAACATCTTGGCATCACATAACATACACTCAGAATCATTGTAGAATACAATCAAAGGCAAAGTGTATTCATCCACACACTTTGTTAAATGTATCTAAAAAAAATCTAAAACCTCATTATGGTGGCAAAGATTCTAGTGAGAAGCACCAATGGCATAAAATAATTGATTCACATGACAAATGCTGTAATGAAAATTTGATGGAGTTTAAAAGAATTAAACCATTTGAGTTAAAATCTCAAGACAGCGATCTTATGGTGCCCTTCAGATGCAGTACACTCCAGTAGATCATTTTAAAGTGTTGGGATTTTATCAGGCTTTTGCTGTAAGGCAAAAATATGTTTGCATTGATATGCTACCTAAAGCACTTAAAAGTGTGTGTGTGTGCGCGCGCACACAGATGTACTTCCTGGCAATTTTCTTTCAGCCAGAAGCTCTCGTGCATACAGAAAGGCATTCAAATTTATGAGGGTTTATTTTCCTATTTGGAAATTTCCCTTACAATTAATATTTATATGATGCAAAAGCAGAGTTAATTGCAGCTTGCTTTAGAAGCCTGAACTCTGGTGCCTATTTATCTACATGGTGAGTGACTGCAATTTGGTTGGTTATTGAAAGTGGCTTAGTCATTCTCTCTTTAATGAATGTGATTTATTAGAATATCTTCTATGGAATTAGGGTCGATGGGTGGCTCTTTCTAGGACAACAACTTAAGAGTCAACATTGCTGTGGCAACAGATATTTGTCACAATCCATCTAAGATGTTCCATGTGGTAAAACAAGTTTATGTACATATAAATGAGCTGGTGTGTGTGTTTCATTTGTATAGTTGGGACAGATGGGTATCAGTCAGATGTTCATCCAAGCAGGATGCATTCAGTCCACACGGCAATGCTGTGAATGGAATTTGCATTCACCCTACCCACTTTGTTTTGCAAGTAGGGTTGCCAACCTCCAGGCAGAGCCTGACGATCTCCCAGGATTATGGGTGATCTTTAGTAGGCATGAACTGAACCATAATTGTGGTTTGTGAACCAGAGTTCATGACATAAAACCCTGCCTTTTGTTCCCCACAAAAGCAGCAAAAATGGCTGGGATTTCTTGTGTATCCCTTTCAAAGGGACTGCATAAGACCACTCAAAATGGCTGAGCAGCAGGGAGCAGGCTGCTCAATGCCACTAAGCTGTTTTCAGTGCTTTTGTGGGGGGGGGCTCTGAGTCCCTTTAAACCTCTGCTTTCTGTTCTACCCATGAACTGCCACAAACTGTTTTAAAAGTTTTTGGAAGTTCATGATGGTGTACCCATCACAAACCATGAACAGGGTGAAATTTGTGATAAATCTTGTTTCATGGTTTGGTTCATACCCATCTCTAAACTACAGAATCAATTCCGCTGGAGAAATAGCTGCTTTGGAGGGCAGATTCTATGGCATCCTATCCCCACTGAGTCCTCTACCCAAACTTCACCAGCTCCAAGCTCTGCCCCCAAATCTCCAGAAATTTTCTAACCTGGAATAGGTAACCCTACTTGCAAGTAGTCACCCGTTAACAGTTTGTTTATAACTAAATGTGAAGGCATCATGCATATGCCACACTATGCATTCAATTTTTAACAAGGTTCCATTTGTTAAAATCCCTTGCACAGTGCTGTACCAAAGCAGAAGTATGTTATAAAGGACTGAACAATTAGTGTGAATTAGTAACTTTTTATTTAATTTTTATGGTGCTCTCCAGAACACTTGCCCAAGGAAATTCACAAAATACTAAAAATAAAGACTTAATACCTTGTTATTTATGTGTACCACAGCTGTTTTGTACAGACTGTTTATTTCCAAGACAATTTAGATGCAAGGCAGGTATTTTTATGAAGACCATCTTCAGGTGTTTTTTTTAAATACTGGCTTTCATGCAAGATTGCTTTTTTAACCTAGTGCATTAAAATTGCAGTTACTTTTCTAAGTCTTTTATGGCCAATAAAAAGCAAGAGATGCATAAACAGCCTTTCTGGATCCAGATGTGGTTGGAATGCCAAGCACTGGCTGGTGGAAAGTGCTTTCCATGCTCTGCTGCATGATCCAAAATGTACATCCAAAACTTTTTCAAGCCAGGGAGGGTGGATTCAGCTTTATGGGGGTGTTGGAGGGGGTTATTCTTGTTTGATGTTCTTGTAAGCCACCTTGGGCCATGGGAAAGGGTGGAATATAAATGTTTAAATACAAAAGAAATCAAACGAAACCATGGATATATTTCCTTGCACTGACGGATTCGGGTATGTACTGCTTTTGTCTGGTCATGTAAAGGGAAGGGTGGGATAAAAACAGACTAAATAAATTCAATCCATTGCTTATCAGTGGAGTAGTGATTTTAATCCACATTCCTGATTATGGAACAAGTCAGCCAAATCAGATCAGAATTGTGACCTGTTCTCTGTATGATGGATTTGATTTTATATCTCACTTTAATGCAGCTTGCTTTGGAAGCTGTTTTTCATCCACAGGCAGTACTTGTATAGTTCAATACTTTTAAAATTTTTCATTCCTACAAATGGCGGTCCAAAGAAGAACCTCTCTAATTCCGTTTGCACTCCATTCAGCTAGAAATCAATCCATAGTGCAGAAGTTAAAAGACAGTTCGTGTGATAAGGGATCTCATCTTTATTACACCATTCCCATAAAATCAGGCAGTTCATAACTGTCCCTATGGTCCAAATCTTTGAGGAATGACTTTAATTGTGGAGTACATATCTATAGTTTGCATTTTTGATAAATATTATTTCAGCTTTATTGTCTTTTTTTCCCCTTTTCATTTGCAGCTGCTGCAGCAGCCGATATGGCATACCATCACATCAGGCCTCCCATAGGCTACTCAATTCCCAAGCCCATATCATCATTATTAATGAGGGGCTGGAATGCTTGTCCAGAGGTAAGTTGTTCCACTTCTTAGTTCCCTGTGCAACAAATTGGATCCAAAGGTTCTGTTCCATTAACAGAGTAGCTCACCTCTGATGCAAGAAGAAGTCTTCCACTGGCACAAGGAGACTATTACCAGCAAAACACACGTCTTTGTTGGAACAAAGCTCCTTGCACTGGCAGAAGGCTGTAGGTATTGGAAGAAGGTTCCACTGTTAGCAGAACAGATTTTTGGCTCCAACCCTGATGGTGCTGAAAGGAAGCACAAAACAAAACTTCCCTGCTTATTTGTTTCCGTCTCAACTTATTGTTACATATGTTTGAGTGAAATACAGTTTCTAGTGAATGGAAAAAAGCTGTCCTGCTGCTTTTAGCCAAGAGATACTTTGTCCCTAAAGAAATCTGAGATGGAATGTTTACTCAAATGTCATTAGAAAAGCAAACACATCAGTCCTAAACCTTTAATTTTAACTCTTGCACAAAATGAGAATTAGGAATTCAGTTTAAAGCTGTTTTGTTCAGATACACATGCAATAAAGGGGTTACAGATAGGCTGTGATCACACACACTAAATAATCCACTTTCAATCCACTTTCAATGCACTTTGGAATTGGATTTTGCCAGTTCACACAGTAAAAATCCAGTTGGAAAATGGATTGAAAGTGGATCATTTAGTGTGTGTGACCACAGCCATAGTTTTATTAATTGAGAATATTGGGCCCCTAATGGTGTTTCCAGTCATTGACTTTCTCCAGGGAGAGCAGGTGGACCAGTACAATTCTATACCAGGCAGCTGCTGTACAGTGCTGATCACCACCAGACAAATTGTACAGGGTCTACATGATACAACAATCCACTCTCCCATGATAACAGGCCTTTATTTGAAGAAGTCTTTCCAGTTTCACTTTTGGACTTCCTGCTTATGAGCACTGGGACAGCTGATGTCTGGAAATGTCCCAAAAGGTAGTAATCATTTCTTCTGGAGTACTTACAATGGACATTGATCCCTTTTTTAAGGCAGTGCTTTGGATGTTATTCTACACCTTTGGAATTTTTAGTTGCAATAGGACAATATTATAGTCAAGGTCCGGGGAGCTACAAACTGTGAAATCTCACATCGGTGCTTATTAGTCACCTTGAAAAACATTTAGGTCTTCTTGCATGTGAACAATATCTTGTCCTTTCTTGTGCCCGCCGGAGGATATAATCCGCAGCAGTAGCTCTTTTCCAGATCCTTATTCAAATTGTTCTTGATTTCTTTTTCTACATGCAAAGGAAAATCCAGATTACTCCACAGGCATGCAGTTTTGTTTCTGCAATGGCCTCAGGCTGCCATCCAGCCTTCCTCTGGGTGATTTTATGTGGGTAAAAAGGTTTTCAGAATGTGACTGTAAGATAAATAGCTGGAAATCATATTTCCATTGCTTTATTGGGGTATGTCATCATAAAGAGATTTAAAACATTATGTTTGAAATGAACATTACCTTTCAGAATTTGAGAAGGGAATATTCTATCCCCAACAATTATACACTCTTTTGAAATTAGAGTTTTGTGTGGCAGGAAGGAGCCTCAAAAGACTTTGTATCTAATAATAATAGCCATACCAAAGCAGAATACACTGCATTCAAACACTTCAAACATTTCTAGTCCATGCCGTCTTTAAAGAGGAGATAATCTGCAGATGAGTTTGCTGCGTGCTCAGGGCCAGGTTTGTCATTATAATGGACACAAGACTGGACTTTTCCCCCCAGATCAGAATAGAGATTGATGTTGTTCATGGTTTTATTGTTGTGTTTTTTAAATTTTTTAAGAAGGTATTTTGTGTTTTATGGCATATGGGTTGGTTGGCTGGCCTGAGCCATGTGTTTTGCTGTTTCATAATCTGTGGTATCTTTTTATTTTTATTTTTATTTATTTATTTATATCCTGCCTTCCCCGAAGGCTCAGGGCGGCTTTTACATGGAACACCTAGTTCACATTGATGCTGTAAAATGGTACACTTTTATTATACACACACACACACTGCCTTTCTCTGAATTCACAGAACTCAGGGTGGTTAACAACATGGTATTATACAGTTTAAAATCCAAGATATAAAAATAGGTAAAAGCAACATCAGATGGCATCAAAAACAAATTTACAGATTGCATCACTGTCTTGCAATGAGCAAGAGAAGGCAGAGTGGGGGAGGGAAAGGGAGTGCCAGATACAATGGTACTCATTGCTGTCCTCAACCAAAAGCCTGGTGGAACATCTCTGCCTTGCATGCCCTGCAGGGTGTGGATGTTGTTTAGCAGAGAGTTCCACCAGGTAGGAGCCAGGGCTGAAAAAGCCCTGGTTCTGGTTGAGGACAGCCGGACATCTTTGGAGCTAGGGACTACCAGTAAGTTGTTCTTAGAAGAGCATAAAGCTCTTCGGGGGACATACCAGAGGAGGTGGTCCCAGAAATACATGGGTCCCTGACCACTCAAGGCCTTAAAGGTCAGTACCAGAACCTTGAACCTGACCCAATACTCCACCAGGAGCCAGTGTAGCTGGCACTGCACAGGTTGAATGTGTGCTGTCCATTGTGTTCCCATCAGGACCCGCACCACCACATTCTGAACCAGTTGGAGTTTCTGGATCAGTCTCAAGGGCAGGCCAGTGCAGAACAAATTACAGTAATCCAATCTGAAGGTGACTGTTGCATAGATTACTATGGCCAGGTATGGGCGAGACAGGAAAGGAGCTAGTTGGTTTGCTTGGCGCAGCTGGTAAAATGCCAGCTTGGCAACATTCATGATCTGGACCTCCATAGATAAAAAGGTATCCAAGACCATGCCCAAACTCTTGACGGCTTGTGCTGTTATTAGAGGTGCACTGTGAACAATGGGAAGTTGGGACCCCAATCCTGAATCCCACCTACCCAGCCACAGAACCTCTGTCTTAGTTGGACTCCATTTCAGTTGGCTCTTCCTCAACCATCCCACCACGGCCTCAAACCCCTCAGATTTTGTGGGGTGGTGTCCAAGTGGCCACTCATCAACAGATACAGTTGGGTGTCATCAGCTGTATAGGTATTGTGTGGAATATGCTTTGGGTAGAAGGAGTTTGAGAAAGGTCAAGTCTTTGGGCTAGATTATATTTGAACAGGGTTTGACAAATATCGATCTTGTGGTATGGCATAAAATTGCAGGTGCATGAAGTCGTTGTCTTTGCTTGCTTACATTCTAACTGTATAATACAATATATATATCAGCCTTTCTCTGAATTCATGGAGCTCAGGGTGGTTAACAACATAGTATTATACAGTTTAAAATCCAAGATATAACAATGGGTAAAAACAACATCAGACAGCATCAAAAACAAATTTACAGATTGCATCACTGTCTTGCAATACAAGTTCAATACAAGAACTCGTGGGCACTCAATGAAATTGCTGAGCAGCCAGGTTAGAACAGATAAAAGGAAGTACTTCTTCACCCAAAGAGTGATTAACATATGGAATTCACTGCCACAGGAGGTGGTGGCAACTACAAGCATGGACGGCTTCAAGAGGGAATTAGATAAACATATGGAGCAGAGGTCTATCAGTGGCTATTAGCCACAAGGTATAGATAGGAACTCTCAATCTGGGGCAAGTGATGCTCTGTATTCTTGGTGCTTGGGGGGGGGGGGGACAACAGTTGGAGGACTTCTAGTGTCCTGGCCCCACTGCTGGACCTCCTGGTGGCACCTGGTATTTTTGGCCACTAGGTGACAGAGTGTTGGACTAGATGGGCCATTGGCCTGATATAACATTGGCTTCTCTTATGTTCTTATGTTCTTAACCTTCCATGGTGGTGGATGAATTCATGTTTTCATCGGTTTCTTTCTGTACTGGTTCCAGTATTCGGTTCAATTAAGCTTTTAAAATCAATAATGAAATTATGAGAAACTGGGGAGAAGGTAGGTTAGAGTTAGAGATAACAACCAGTTAGTGATAACAACCAGTGTTATGCCTGTATTTCCTTATGCCTGTGACAACATTTGTGTCACAAGAAAGTGCAAAGAGACTAGGATTAGGCTTTGTGTAGTAATAACGGGGGATGGGAATTATTAAAAGCATGGTGTGGTGGTGAAGAGTGGTGGACTTTAAACTGGAGGACTGAGTTTGATTCCCCACTCCTCCACATGAAGCCTGCTGGGTGACCTTGGGCCAGTCAGTTCTCTGAGAACTCTCTCAGCCCCATCTACCTCACAAGGTGCCTGCTGTGGGGAGACAAAGGTAAGCCACTTTGAGACTCCTTAGGGTAGAAAAAGCAGGGTATACAAACCAACTCATCTTCCTCTAAAATATGAAACCCTGAAGGCTGAAAAATGAGTCTGGTTCCTAAATTTTGGGGCCATCTTCTCAAGCCAAAGACAATTTGCCAAGGCCTGTATTTGAATACCTTCCAATACAATTATATTCATAAAGGCTGGTTTCTAGCATTCAGTCATCTACATCGTGGATCAAAGCTAAGGTATACAACGCCTTGTGCAAATTACAGAACTGTTATGTACATATGCTTAATACATTCCACTCCTTTTGGTTCTATCAGAAAGACTGGCCTGGACTGGTAGGATTATCAACCTCCAGATGGTGGCTGGAGATCTCCTGGGATTACAATTGATCTCTTGGCAACAGAAATCAGTTCACCTGGAGAAAATGGCCACTTTGGAAAGTGAGCTCTATGGCATTATACCCCTTTGACGTCCCTCCCCCTCCCAAACCCTGCCCTCCTCAGGCTTGACCCACAAAATCTCTAGGTATTTCCCAACCCGGAGCTGGCAACCCTATGGGTTGGGCATTCTGCAAGTCACCCTTTGGTAGCAGTATGATGCAGAGAAATTAAGCAGGTGATACCCACCAGTGATCTCCATATCAGGAAATGTTTCACCTGCAAAATTTCTGCATAAGAGCAGAGATAGCAAAGAAAGTTGGCAACCTAGATGCTGTGTGCTCCACCAGCCATCAAATTGATTTAGAAGTGAGAAAGTGACCCAAATTAG